CGCTTAAGACTTTTTTATTTCACCAAGCTGGCCTGGCCTAAATCTTCTCCCCTTTTTAAATGGAAATTTTAATCTATTTTAAATTATGGGGTATTTTAAATTTGTTCAGCCAAACTATTTAATTCGTTTTTATTTTATTTTAAATTTTTGTATTTATGTGTTTTTATCTTGTGGCTGTTCACCGCCCTGAGTCCTTCGGGAGAAGGGCGGTATAGAAATTTAATAAAATAAATAAATAAATAAATAAATAAATAAATAAATAAATAAATAAATAAATATCATAGTTGTCAATTCCCACAACTGATGTCAATTGTCTCCATTTATCAATTTGGGGGGGGAATACCGTACACAGAACACCAAGTACCTTGGCATGACTGGATGATGATGTGAAGGTATGAGACCTTGAAATGAGCTTAAATGATTATTATTAATCACTAATGAGCAATTTAGATGCTAGGTTAGGTAACAATATAGGTGGCAATTAAATTATTTGGATTAGTAAGATGAAAATTGGTGGACAGCCCTAGGTTCAGGAAAACCTCAACAGATATTCTTGCTAAAAGTCTCACCCAAGGAACATCTAGTGCAGGGATCAGCAACCTGCAGCTCTGGAGCCGCATGTGGCTCTTTCATCCCTCTGCTGTGGCTCCCTGTCGCTAGTCGGCACCACAATTTGGAGAGGAGCTTCCGGTTAAGGGGAGGAAAGCATGGTGTCCCAGGAGGAGACTCTATGGCCGTGATGGCGAACCTATGGCACGCGTGCCACAGGTGGCACGTGGAGCCATATCTGTGGGCACACGAGTGTTGCCCTAGCTCATCTCCGGTGCGCCTGCACACACCAGCCAGCTGATTTTGGACCTTCTGGGCCCACTGGAAGTCAGGAAACAGGCTGTTTCTGGCCTCCAGAGGGCCTCCAGGGGGCTGGGGAAGGCTGTTTTCGCCTTCCCCAGGCTCCTAGAAAGGCTCTGGAGCCTGGGGAGGGCGAAAAACGGGCCCACCGGGCGATCACGTACCAAGCGGGGGGAGCGCAGGGGGGTTGCGCACAGGGGAGTGGGGTGCATTGAATTATGGCTGTGGGCACACACGCGCGACCCCCCCTCCGCTTTTGGCACGCGACGCCAAAAAGGTTAGCCATCACTGCTCTATGGCAAGGGGCGAGTTTTCTGGTCGGCTCCACAATTGATAGGGCTTTTGGTTAGAACAAGTAGAGGAAAAAGGACACCACACTAGGAGGAGACTCTATGGTGGGGGAACCGGACTTCCGGTCGGCTCCAGAATTGAACGGTGGGGTGGGGGGCTTCCAGTTAGGACCTTTGCGGCTCTTTGAGGGTTTAAGGTTGCCGACCCCTGATCTACTGAAATTCACTAAACATTCTCGGAATTTCTGACAGCAGACTTAGATGGAAATTTACTAGGGAAGCTGGAATTTCAACTATATACAGGTCATGGACCTCCCTATTAAGACTGTGGAAAATGCACCATAGATCCTTCAAATGCTCACAAATGGAACGTCTCTCCGGAAGTAGCTGTGACCTTTGGAAAGCGTGCAGAGACACATTTTGGCTGGCCCCATAAGCCAAGCGAAGCATGTGAATTGAATTAAAGGCGTCACCAAAGGAGAAAAATTAAAATCTTACTTACTTGAGGTCCCATCTCTAGACCCATCTCTGTAGCCAAATTCTACAGAGCGATTCTTATTATGCTTATTTTTTTAAGACACTACCTTGGTTCTGATATCCTACTGCACACAATAGGATAAAGTGCAAATATTTAAAATAGAATAGAATAACAGAATTGGAAGGGACCTTGGAGGTCTTCTAGTCCAACTCTCTGCTCGGGCAGGAAACCCCCCTATACCATTTCAGACAAATGGTTATCCAATCTCTTCTTAAAAATTCCAGTGTTGGAGCATTCACAACTTCTGGAGCCAAGTTGTTCCACTGGTTAATTGTTCCTAATTGTAAGGAAGTTTCTCCTTAGTTCTAAGTTGCTTCTCTCCTTGATGAGTTTCCACCCATTGCTTCTTGTTCATTTAAGCTTGTTGCTCCTTCTAGGAAAAATAACTTTTTTTTTTTTACAACGTGAAGATTATTTCTCATACTACCGGTAGTTGTTGGTTGGAAGATATGGAAGTTAAGCAGGTTCAGACTCCATTAATTAGTTTCGAATGGAACAGCAGGATTGTAGTTTGATCAGAACATAAAAACAATACTATTACTATTAATCTTCTCATCGTTCCTATCACCCATCTCCTCCTACTTATGACTGTATGACTGTAATTTGTTGCTTGTATCCTTATGATTTATATTTGCTTCCTAATATGATTTGATTGCTTATTTGTAACCTATGATTATCATTAAGCGTTGTACCTTATGATTCTTGACAAACGTAACTTTTCTTTTATGTACACTGAGAGCGTATGCACCAAAGACAAATTCCTTGTGTGTCCAATCACACTTGGCCAATAAAGAATTCTAATCTAAAGAATTCCATTCTTTAAAAAACCCACATTTTTGGAAAGAAAGCACTGGAAATCTGCTTTGGGAAATTAAATTTCCTAGTTCCTAGCTTGCTTTGAATGAGATTTTAATTTTATTAAAATATATCTAACTAGCGGGGTGGATACTTAAGTGGCCCTCAAGCTGCT